AAGCTAGGCTGGAAGTTAAAAGTATTTCTCAGACTTTGTTCACTAGAGCCTGAGGGTTGATAACTTAGTACTGTAGTGAGAGGCAGAATTACCCCGTCACAGAAAGGCACTCTGCACCTTAAAAGCTGCTGTAGCCTGCAGGATAAAAGGTTAACACTTTTAAGTGTTAATATATTGTTTCAGCCATATAATAAATTTTTGCCTAGCTTGAGCCAGTTATTTTCGTAAGTGACAATAAATACTGTTAACTGAATGTAATGTGCATAAACTGAATTTTGGTTGATTTTGTAGTGCAATATAAAAGCTACAGAGTTACACTGTGTTTATGATATGACATGCTTTTTTGCTTTCTTCCTTTTAATAGGTAGCAATAATAGTAGAATTTAGCTTAGTACATGGGTGGAGTCCTGAATCCTCGGTCTTGAGCTATATCAAAATGTGAATTAGTTCGGGCTTTTTCTGTAGAAAAAGTCAGCTTTCTGATAAAACTTTTCAGAAGTTTAAGACTTTGTTTACCTTGTGTTCCAACTGACTAATACAACTATTTGTGAGTAAATTCTACAGTATCAGTCTCTAAATTCAAATTTCCAACTACTACTACACCTCTAGCCCAATATAACGGGACCCGATATAACACGAATTCGGCTATAACGTGTAAAGCAGTGCTCCGGGGGGGGGGGGGGGGGGGTACCCCCCGGGTGGAACAAAGCAAGTTCGGTATAACACGGTTTCACCTATAACGCAGTAAGATTTTTTGGCTCCCGAGGACAGCGTTATATCGAGGTAGGAGGTGTACTTAGAAAGGACCACTACTCTTCCATAAAACGGTGCTCAAAAGCCAGCTTTTAGGCTAAGACATAATTTAACTAATCAAGAAAGATCATGTCATCCATTTTAAATAGTCTTTTCAGTCTTTATAAATGCAGTTATACAATTAAAAGGGATAGAGGTGGCAGATTCCCCTAGATTAGGGTGACCAGACAGCAAGTGTGAAAAATTGGGACAGAGGCTGGGGGGTAATAGGCGCCTATAGAAGAAAATGCCCCAAATATTGGGACTGTCCCTATAAAATAGGGACATCTGGTCACCCTACCCTAGATCTAGCCCAGGTATGAACATATTTCATATTACACACAAAAACTATGTTAAAATAATTGTATGCAGTGGTGTTGCAGCCATGTTGATCCCAGAATATTAGAGAGAGGTGGGTGAGGTAATACCTTTTATTGGCCCAACTTCTGTTGGTGAGAAAGACAAGCTCTTGGGATTACACAGAGCTCTTTTTCGGCTCTGAGAAAAAGCTGGTCTCATGTTAAAATAATATAATGTAGGTTTGCAAAGTCAAGAACACAAAATTAGGAAATGCCAGATTTACAATTGCCCATGCAACCTTAATTCTGCTCCTGTGTATATCCATCATGTGCACTGAATGGGGTCATTTGGAAAAAATAGTATGTGATCATATAATTAAATATTGTATCATAATGCACACACACCAGGAGGCTGAATTAAGGTTGCACATTCCTAACTTTTGAGTGCTTGACTTTGCAACCTAAACAACATTCTTGTAACTTATTGTAACATTGTGTAACTTCCTAGATTGTTTTAACCTTTTGTTTTTCTTAAAGAAAAGAGTTGGGGAGGGGGGTTATTAAATGGGCCATTGTGACCATGTTCTGGGTCTGGTGATTTACAGAGTGGAGGCATCCTGGCCCAACTCTGTTGCTGCCTCCCACACAAACACTACAGCCAGCTGGTCCTGTCACTCCACGATGTTCCCCCTGCAATGTGTGGTGCTGCTGCGACAGGAACACCCTGAGCCCAGCCTTGGAATGTTCTGTGATTTGGGCAGGCTGCCAATACTTTCCTGAGTAATGCAGGTGAGGGAAGAGAAATGATGATTTTTAACAGTTGGTCTCAGCAAAATCTGAACAGAATTTCATAGGACATAGCCAGAGGGATTCCCTCTACCAAATATCAAAGGTCTGCTGCAACTAATAGAGATGTGAGAGCTTCTCAAGGTCCCAAGCATTCTTATAATGGAAAGTATTAGGCAACCTAAAATAGGGGTGTTGCGGGCAAGTATAGCCTGTCACACCACCACGCCAGAGCAGTAGCGTTATGGCCCTGTGGCCAAGTCCAACAGACCGCTCCTCCTCTCAGGGTGGTATAGCCTAATGGTTAGAGTCAGGGAGCTGTCCTTAGGTTCAGGACTGTCTGGCCAAGCAACCAGAGTAAATGGGACCACCCTTAAGCAGAGGGCGGTAGAACCTAATGGCCAGAGTCAATGGGACCACCCTCCTCTGTGCAGGGTGGCGTGCCCTAGTGGCCAGAGTCAATGGGGCCACCCCTCTATGCAGGTCAGCATGGCCAAGTGGCTAGGCAGGGGATGGGCCACCACCCAAGGGTAGGTTGGTGTCTGGGGTAGAGGGACCCAGGCACTCCCTACTCCACCGGGTCCCAGCCCTGGACCCTAACAGTAGTAAGTGTATCCACCATGAGTCAGCGAGGATCCCTCCAAAACACACTGACTCTGTTCCTGGTTCCACAACTGGATCAATGTCTGGTTCCCCTAGACTACTTCTTACCCTGTCTTCCTGCTCCATAGTTCACGGGTCCTCTGATCCTCCAGGGTAGTCAGCAGGCGAAGTTCCCAATGACTGCTTCCCCTTGTGGGTGTTTGTGGACTGCCAGGTATTTGCCTGGCCTCTGTGGTCTGGGCTTCGATAGCTCCCGGACAGAAGCTTGCAACAATCTCTCTCCTCCCCGGCGGGACTGAGCTTAGCTGCTCCATTTTATAGTGTGGTTCCAGTTGGAGTATGCCCAGCAGGAGTGAGGGGGAATGGCTTCCTCAGCACCCTGTATAGGGTTAACCCCTTCCTGTGGTCACAAGAGGTCAATATCAACTCCCTCTATAATACTCTGATTTCTGTTGGGCCAGATTGTGATACATGGATTTGTATTATACAATGCCTTATTCCTCTAGCAGTATTACTGAGTCCAATGGCATTGCTTGAGAAAAAAGGTACCTGCTGACCTTCAGTTTTGGGCACCCAGGGCATGATCCTAAGCCAATGAACTCAACTGAAAGACTCCCATTGACTTCAATGGGTTTTTGGCTCAGTCCCCCATAGAATGTAATAGATTTCTCTGCAAAGACAGTTAAGTACCTTACTCGCCATTGAGCCTGATAATTTTATTCTTGGAATTTATAATGTGGAATTCAACTTTACTTACCTATTCGTTATTATATTTACTCCTTTGTAAAGCACTTTAAGATCCATGGAGGAAAAGCACTATATAAGAGGAAGGTGGTAGTATTATTATTATTAATAATATTTAATGGCAATAGCAAAGTAATCAGCACCTTACTTGCACCTACAGTGAGGATCAGCCTCTTTTTCCCTCCTTCCAGGTGACACCAACATTGCTTTATGGGTTAGTCAACGGGGAACTCTGAGTAGATTGGCTGTCACTCTGGCCAAGACTTGACACAATAGAAAACCTTCAGAATGTGGAAAGTACTGGAATAGGCTTCTATAATAGTACGTGGATGGCTGAACTAAAGTGTTCCAAATGCTATCCTGATATGTGCACATCTGGCTGTCAGGCAAAAAGAAATCAAGGGGAGGCACAGGCAAATATCCAGTAATGGACCAATATGTCTGACAAATGTAATGTATGATATTCCTAGATATGGAGAAATCCTATATATGGAGGGGGGGGAAAACAGTCTTACCGTAGACATAGATATACATTTTATTTTATTTCAAAAAATAGCAAATGTATTAAGAACACGAACCAGAAAGTTATTAAAAGCTTCATAGCAAAATATTTAGCCAACTCTGTTACAATATATAGGCTTGAGATTCTAACAAGTAACACTATGCCTCAATTCACTGAGCAAGTAATGGAGCTGGAAATTAAAAAAAGAAATATTTCTGTCTTTCATCTTTCATGATCAACTGAAGTACAACAACATTCCAACTTTTGATTCTTTTTTGGGGAAAGCCTTAAAAAAAACAAAACACAATTCCTGAGTATTTAGGTTAAGTGAAAATATCAAACACCTGTTAAAGATGACCAGTTAAGGCCCCAATACTGCTTGGTGAATGGTGGAAGGAGTTCTCAAGTGTGGTTGTCAAGACAGGATCAAGGCCTAAATGGCTTAATGGAATAAATGAAAACTTTTTAGTAGAGTCATTCGTATTAACTTTCTTAGCCTACATGCAACTGTGAAGTTTGCTTTGCTGAGAGAAACCTTTTAGTCTTAAACATCAATCCTTTGCAAAAGCTTTCTATGCAATTTATCACAGCTAAACCTCCCCTGAGCCATCAAGCTATAATTATGCAAAATATACAAGTTTAAAATTTAGCCAATTGGGCTTTCACATTAACATTAGTATAAATATTGAATTGTAGTTTGTTGTTTCAATTTTTTCAAACATAGCAATCCTGTTATTTAAGATTTGGCTACTATAAACACTATATATAATATATTTAATTATTCTCTTTAGATTTTTGTCACAATATCATACTGTACATCAATTCTAAAATCCTGTTATTCATCATGTTCATATCTTTTTAATTAATTTTGTACATTTTATTTGTAAAGCTGTTGCCAATTAATGCACTTTGGATAACTAATCCCAGAAAAATCTGCAAATTTCTAAGCCATGGTTATTCTACATATGATTTTCTTGAATTGCAGTACTAAATTATAGTGGATATAGAAAGTTATCACATAAAGCATAGTTAACTAGAATTCACAACACTGGTATTCAACTTGACCATTTACAGTGAGTTCACAAAAATGGTTTTAATCTGCCCAATTTTCTTCTACCCTCCCTCCCCAACATGTAAACACAATGACATTCTAGGATTGCAGTTACCAAGATGTATCATATGTAAAAGAAAATATCTAGAATGTGTGTTTGGATTTGGCAATTCCAGTAGATACTGCTACTCACTTTCCATCCTAGACTGGATGCAACATTCTAACAATGATGCTATCACTAAAAAAAACAAACTAGAAGCTTATGGGAGCTCCAGTTCTGATGCAGGTTTCTTGACTTTTAGTAATGAAAGGTCATGTGCTTATATAGAAACAAAAGAGCAATAGATTGGAGAATATGGGACCTGTGGCACGAACATATATTTGAATGGTGATAATATACAGTATTGCAGTTGTATGTTACTAACACATGAAACTCTTGGCATTACAGAGATGATGATCTCTGTTCACACAAGCCAATCTGAATGTGCCATAAGCATTTGGTAAAAACAGGCTTGTGCCAGTTTCACTGAAAAAGAAACACTTGTCAAAATATTTTTAAAAATACTGTATGATGTCTTGTAAATTGTCATTTAAATATTAAAATCTTGTTTCTGAAGTTCCCCGCTTTAGGTTGTTACTCAAAAACTCATCATGTTCAAAACTCAAATTATTATGAGATCTTGATATCATAAGAAGCTTTTCCTTATTAGTAAAGTCCTTTTTAACTGTGGCTTGTGGTACAAGTAACCTATCCATTGGGTCCTCTTTGTTTTCTAGTTTCATGTATCCTTTACTGTTGCTTCGATCCAATCTGGGCCAGCTGGGGTGTTTTCTTTGTTCAGCTTGGACAGTGAGTGTAGACGGACCCCTCTCTAAATCCAAGGATTTTGAATGTGCAGACAGAAGATGCAAAGATGCGTTGGACCCAAATTGTTTTCTGGCAGCACCAGGTGATAAAAGTTTTCCAGTGCTTGGTCCAAGAGTCATAGAAGATTTGAACTGACTGGATGGAGATTCTACAAATGAATTATTTCGGGGTAGCATTGCACTGGCAGGTTTGTAGGATTCATTGGTATCAGTTAATGGAATGGCTAGAGAGTCCATTGACAAATTTCTAGACTGGCTTCTAGTGATCTCAGAATCCTCAGTGATATTGTCTATACTAGGTTCATCAATAACACAGTTATTTAGTTTAATTACAGGCAGTGTGAAAGCACTAATGGAGGATGATACAATTGACTTCGTTTCACACTTTATAGAGCTACTGTTTTTGTCATCCATTGCTTTGCTAGTGTGAGGGTAGAGTCCAAAGACAGAGCCAGAATGCTCAGTCAGCAAAGGTGGTAGAAGGTTAGAAGTGTTCTTGTCTTCATTTATGGCAACTTCATCTTCTTCAGCTGAACTATCTATTCGAAAGTTACTCCTGAAGCCAGAGAAAGGTGCAATTGTGTTTGCAGCCAACCGCGATGCACATGAGTTCCCACTATGCTTGAATTCACTTTCCCCCAATAAACCAGTATAAGCGCCATTCAACTGCTTTTGTTCCTTGATTCTCAGACTGTGCATGTCTATTACAGTGGAGTATAGGTCTCTCATATGTATGATTTTTGTTTCCTTGTCACGATTTTCATGTAGGATGGCATTTGCACAAATAAAAATAAAGATTCCAATGCCCATAGTAAAGGGGCCCAACATTTTCATCTTATCTGAGTGTAAATGTTGTTCAAAGAAACGAAATATAACTCCACCTTGGTTTGTTATGACCTGGGTTTCATTTAAGGCTAGACTAGCTTCAGGACTTAAAAATTGTTCCTTTTGTGGCCAGTATCCAAGGATAGCCATTGCAATTCCCATGAATGAGATGAGCACTCCCAAAACAAGAAAGAATCCTGACGGAGAGTAAAGTCGGATTTTGCCCCTGACAATTACTACATCAGCCCTGGGCCGGCGTCTGACTGGCTTTTTCTCTTCAGAAGTTGATGATGTGGCAAGATTTAGTTGATGCTGAGATCTGGCAGAGTCTTGCCTCTTTAAGGCTGCCAGCCCTGTTATTACTCCACCAGTTGCTATCATAGTTCTATATTCTGCCCTGGAAAAGAAAACAAATACTAATATAAGTAATTTCAATACAATATACATATACATTTGTTAATCAGACATTAACTTTTTATTAAAATAAATATTACTTTAAAAAGCCATTACATTTTAACAGCTCTTTATAAATGGCAACTTTCACATGTACATGGAATTTGAGAAAACTGTAACTTGTTTTTTGAACACAGTAAAGCTAGGTAATATATATAGCTTAATTGATAGAAATATAGTGGAAAACTAATAAGATGGCTCATGGTGAGTTATCAGGAGTATATCAAATGAAATTATTGAAAATGCATAATATATGGCATCATTCAGAACTGGTCTCCACCAAAGCAATCGACTTTATCTCATACAGTTTTCATACGGGTGTTAGACAATCTTGAAGTTTTAGCTAAAAAAGCTTTTAAAAGCTGTGAAACAATTACAGTTAGTGTGAATATTAATTGTATTGAATATCACCTTTAGGACAATGATTTTCTCATAGATTTTAGTGTATTTTTAAAAATACATTCTATTATTATTACTACTACTACATTATTAAGTTTATTAATACTAGATTTTAATTCCCAATTACAGGATCATTTTTGCCTTTTCCTAATAATGCTTGCCTTATCCACATGGCAATCCTAAGGTTTTTCATTGTTTGTTTTCTTTGATTTTTCATGGAGCACAAGGCACCATGGTTTAGTTTACATCCTTCTTTCTGAATCAGCATCATCTAGTTGTCTGAAGTAAGTTTTTCCCCTTAGGTTCACCTGTATGCCCAGGTGTCTATAAATAATGTAGGAAACTTCAACAAATACTGTTTTAAAAAAACTATCAGGAGAAATGTGCACAGCTGTAGAAATAGTGCTTGTCAGATCATTACATTTGAGAGTGGCCAAGAAAGTACCCATCCAACAAAATACAGGGAAATAAAACTTTATTTTGTACAAAATCTTTCAGAATGCTTTCCCGGGTTAAATAATACATCAAAGAATGTTAACAAATAAGAGAGAGGATGAGTAACTGAAAGATACGAGACAGGGAGTACAGAAATGGTGCTCAGGTGAAATGGAGACCTGATTAGGCTGAGATACACAGGAAGATAGTTTTAAATGGCTGTAGAGGAGAAGGCTCTTGCTTCAAGAGTGATGAGATTTTGTGAACAGACAAAGAAAAGGCTGAGTGACAGAGGGGAATAAAGAAAGATAAGATCTGTGATCTATAGACCCATGGAGTTAGAAGGGACCACAAGGATCATCCAACCCCTCCAACACCTCCACCCCCCACCAAGACGCAGGATTTGTTTGTGTTTAACCATCCAAGACAGATGACTATCCAGCCTCCTTTTGAAAATTTCCAGTGAAGGAGCTTCCATGACCCCCATAAGCAGTCTGTTCCATTGTCCGTCTGTTCTTAGTTAGGAAGTTTTTCCTGAGATTTAATCTAAATTATGGTTGTTTTTAAATATAAGAGGGCAGGTTCTGCCCTTGGACTCATGCATACAACACCCTTTGGCTTAAATATGTGCACATCTAAGGACAGAATTGGCCCAACATGGTAACAGTCAACATTACCACGACATGAATGGTGAACAGGTAGAACTGTTTGAGAATGGGAGCAAGGTGGCAGCACTTCTCCAGAAGAAATGTGTCCAGTGTTCATTATTAATTGTTCAGACATTGCTTAGTGAGTGGAGAGACATCCTAAGCTACCTAACTGCTTCATTCTATTAAGGAATAGATAGCTTCCATGAAAAGTCTCAGAGTTTTGCCTGAGTAAAGATTGCTAGCTTGGGTACACAGAGTACTTTATGAATTTTGGAGAACAAAAATCACAATCAGATGTCAAAAGTTTTTTGAATAAAACTTCAGTAGGAATTAGGTACCTAAGTCTCTAAGGCTAGGTCTACACTACGGGGGGGGGGGGGGAGGAGCCGACCTAAGATACGCAACTTCAGCTGAAGTTCCGTATTTTAGGTCGACTTACCTGACTGTGAGGACGGCGGCGAGTCGACTGCTGCCGCGCCACCATCGACTCCGCTTCCGCCTCTTGCCGCGGTGGATTTCCGGAGTCGACGGCAGAGCCATCAGGGATCGATTTTATCGCGTCTTCTCTAGACGCGATAAGTTGATCCCCAATAGATTGATTGCTACCCGCTGATCCAGCGGGTAGTGAAGACGTGCCTTTAGACTCCTTTAAGAATTCCTGCCCCTGTAATTAAACTGGAGCTGCATTTCAGTGCTATTTTGGTAACTTCAGTGTGTTACTGCCATGTGGTCTCTTGCATGCTTCAGAAAGGATACAGTCTAAAAATATGTGTCATTTTAAAAACTCCAGAATGGAGAGTAAAAATAACTGAGTATTTAAGGTTCAGATTTTTTTTAAAAAGATAAATGAAAACAAAATTTGCCCATACGCATATGTGCTTACGAGGTTTGTGCCAAAACACAATCAAACATCAAGATGACTCTCTCAATTTTTGTAAAACATTGTTTTGGATTCCAGACAAAAATAAACAGGACCTAGTCTGTGGAAAATGTTTTCTTTTGTTAGGGTTCAATTTAAACGTAATCAGGGCTGGCGCAACCCATTAGGCGACCTAGGTGGTCACCTAGAGCACTACAATTTGGGGGGTAGCGACCGTGGCGGTATTTTGGCGGCGGGACCTTCCGCTGCCTCTGTGGGGGGCGGCATTTCGGGGCGGGACCTTCCGCCGCGTAGGGCGGCAGAAAAGCGGCGACACTCCTAAACGTAATTAGTTTTTCTATAAAGTAAACGAAGAGAAGCATGCCATAACAGTACTAATATTGACAGATAAAACTAACCTCAGCATGTTAGCCTATTATCCTTCTCCAGGTCCTAGACATTTAGAATGGGATTTTTTTAAAAACACAAACTCAGGAGCACAAGTCCCCCATTTCCTTTGGAGACACAGTCATTACGTGCTTCTGAAAATCCCACACTTAAATGTCCCCAGTTTTATAGAAAATGCTTCCCATTTGCAGACTTCACAAAGGTTGCAGAAGAAAAGCATCTACTGTTCATTATTAATTGTTCAGCAATAGCTTAGCTGATGGAGAGAAAGAGAGACATTCTAAGTACCTGATTCCTTAAAGAATATAAGGACAGATTACTCCCTCTCCCTCTGGGAAAACCTGTAGTAGGAGGGGGCTGCAGGACTGGAAAAGTCTTTTTGCCTGAGTAACAGTTGAAAACAAAGACTACATTCCCTTATCTTTCCTATTTCCTGACCTCACTCTCACTGTAGAATTATTTCTAAATTCATTGCCAGAAAAATCTCTCTCCCCCTGCCTTCCCCCCTCCCGTTCCCTCCTCCACCGCCAGGTTTGGCAAAGATTTAAGCTTCACCTTGGTGCTAACAGAAATGGCTAGATGCTGATCTCACTTACCTCCATGTAAATCTGAAGTAACTGCACAGAAATCAATGTAATCACTATGGACTTAGATTGGCAGGAGATCAAAACCTGTCTTTATAAGAAAGGATAGCAATTAAACCTTACATAGCAATGCTCCAATACGTTGCATCTTTGTTTATGGCACAATGTTGTATTTACTTATTAGAATGCATTTTAACATTAGGAAGCTTTTTACAAACAATATTATATTAATGTTAAAGAGGAATTACAGATAACTCCAGTGTACCTCTATATTCAGTTTGACTGAAAAGAAATCTCTGAATCCACACATCTGAACAAGCAAATCTTAAGAGATTTTGACTCAGAGCTGAAGTGGAGTATGTTAAAAGTTTCAATTCAATCTGTTATTTTGGTGGCATTCTGAGTGACATTACAGCCCTGCTATAAAATGGATCAGATAATGATGCAATGGATCAGAAGGAGAAAGAGAGGGGCAGATTTATATTAATTATTATTAATCATTTGTATTACCATAGCACCTTGGAGCCCCAGGCCTAGCTCAGGGACCCATTGTGTTAGGTGTTGTACAAACACGGAACAAAAAGATGGCCCCTGTGCCAAGGAGCTTACAATCTAAGTATCAGACAAGAGACAGCAGGTGGATTAAGACAGAGAGGAGTACAAGGAAACAATGAGACAATACTGTTTAGCATGATAGTCAGTGGTCGCAGCACACTTTTGGCCTAATTCATTTTATAAAACATAACATCTTCATCCTGCTGGTGCAAAAGCACCAGTCACCGTCCAGCTTTTAAAGAACAAAGATTTTTTTAAACTTCTGACCTTCCAACTTGTAGTTGTACTAGTTTTCATGCAACAAAAATGTCAGCTCCAAAGACAGTTTAGTGATTCAGCCAGGAAAGAGAGAATGCTCCAGATTCCCTCTCTATTAAGGCCATTTTGCACTGTGCTACTGCTGCAGGAAGGAACTCAAATGTGAAATTGCAGAACTGTATTCTGTAACCTCTTATTTAAATCAGCTTCTATACCAGATGACTGGAGGATGGCTAATGTGACCCATTTTTTTAAAAGGGCTCCAGAGGTGATCCCAGCAATTACAGGCCCGTAAGCCTGACTTCAGTACCAGGCAAACTGGTTGAAACTATAATAAAGAACAATATTGTCAGACATATAGATGAACATAATTTGTTGAGGAAGAGTCAACATAGTTTTAGTAAAGAGAAATCATGTCTCACCAATCTACTAGAATTCTTTGAGGGGGTCAACAAGCATGTGGACAAAGGGGATCCAGCGGATATAGTGTACTTAGATTTTCAGAAAGCCTTTGACAAGGTCCCTCACCAAAGGCTCTTACGCAAAGTAAGCTGCCACGGGATAAGAGGGAAGGTCCTCTCATGGATTGGTAACTGGTTAAAAAGATAGGAAACAAAAGGGTAGGTATAAATGGTCAGTTTTCAGAATGGAGAGAGGTAAATAGTGGTGTCCCCCATGGGTCTGTTCTGGGACCAGTCCTATTCAGCATATTCATAAATGATCTGGAAAAAGAAGTAAACAGTGAGGTGGCAAAATTTGCAGATGATACAAAATTACTAAAGATAGTTAAGATCCAGGCAGACTGCGAAGAGCTAGGGAAAGGATCTCTCAAAACTGGGTGACTGGGCAGCAAAATGGCAGATGAAATTTAATGTTGATAAATGCAAAGTAATGCACATTGGAAAGCATAATCCCAACTATACATATAAAATGATGGGGTGTAAATTAGCTGTTCCCACTCAAGAAAGATCTTGGAATCATTTTGGATAGTTCTTGAAAACATCCACTCAATGTGCAGCAGCAGTCAAAAAAGCGAACAGAATGCTGGGAATAATTAATATAAATAAATAAATTAATATAAATATAAATCCATGGTAACGCCCACATCTTGCATACTGTGTGCAGATGTAGTCATCCCATCTCAAAAAAGATATATTGGAATTGGAAAAGGTTCAGAAAAGGTCAACAAAAATTATTAGAGGTATGGAACGGCTTTCCATATGAGGAGAGATTAATAAGACTGGGACTTTTCAGCTTGAAAAAGAGACGGCTAAGGGGAGATATGATTGAGGTCTATAAAATCATGACTGGTGTACAGAAAGTAGATAAGGAAGTGTTGTTTACTACTTCTCATAACACAAGAACTAGGGATCATAAAATTAAATTAATAGGCAGCAGGTTTAAAACAAATAAAAGGAAGTATTTCGTCACACAATGCACAGTCAACCTGTGGAACTCCTTACCAGGGGATGTTGTAAAGGCCAAGATCATAACAGGGTTCAAAAAAGAACTAGATAAATTCATAGAGGATAGGTCCATCAATGGCTATTAGCCAGGATGGGCAGGAATGGTGTCCCTAGCCTCTGTTTGCCATAAGCTGTGAATGGACGGGTGGGGATGGACCACTTGATGATTACCTGTTCTGTTCATTCCCTCTGGGGCACCTGGTATTGGCCACTGTTGGAAGACAGGATTCTGGGCTAGATGGACCTTTTGTCTGACCCAGTAGGGTCATTCTTATATTCTTTTGTGTTCCTAAAATTAGCCTAGTCAACCACAGGGGTGTCACTCCAATTTGGCAGGAATCTACAAGGGCACAGAGCTGGTGTATTAGCTCCTGCACCCTACTCTGTCTGCTGACAGCAAGGGAGCACAGCCAGAGCTTCTCTATCCCCAGTAATCTCTGGAGTCTGTATCAGCCCCTCAGAGCCTGTAACAATGTATGCCGGGCCCTTTAAGGTAGGCTTATGGCTCAGCACAATTCTGTTCCTCTGGCAAGGCTTCATAGAGATGTTGCCCAAAAATGTCGAATGGGAGTTATGGTGTACTTCATAGAGAGGAAGAAAGGAAGACCTGGTGAGTAGCAGCTACTGATGGGTCTCTCCAGTGAGGAGATGACTGGAGACTGGGTAGGGCCTGAAGAGAGCAGCCTGGGATGGACAGTGGGAAGAAGCCTGAGATTGGCTGAGGATGAGACCTAGAGGCATGCAGGGCAGTAAGGACCCTAGGGAGAATAAGTTGTCCATTTGGTGGTAAGGCCTGGACCCAGAACAGTGAGCCCTGCATCAAAGGATGAAGGATTGAACATGTCTAGACAATACTTCGTCCTGCCATGAGTGCAGGGGACTGGACTAGATGACCTCTTCAGGTCCCTTCCAGTTCTACGATTCTATGAGCTAGGAAGCAGGTGAAGGAAATAGCTCGGGGTAAAAGTAGTAGTATGGGTTTGGAACCTGGATTTGTACCTGCTTCTTGTATAGCGTTCCCAGGCTGGGGTTTCCCGAGAGGCTGGGAGGAATTCTCCCCTTTCACTTCCCTGCATCAAGTATGGGGGAAAAGTTGCTCAGACACTTGAGGGAGGGCTGTGGCTCAGAAAGGAACCAGAGAGAGAGAGAGAGAACGAACAGCTTGGAGAAGCCAGTTTGTTGTGGTCTGCCATTGGATGTTTGTTTACCCCAGAAGGGGTGGAGTTCTTCTAACTTAGTCAGATGGCTAAATCAAACTGCCCACAGGCTACTGGGGAAACTGAGGTAGCAATTGCACCCAATGATGGGTAGGTAAGCCCCAGCTATATGGCTATGGGCAGCCAGTGTAATTTAGTGCAGGGAAAACAGAATCACAAGAGTGCATACCCCAGTCCCTTCTGATTTGTATTGTGCGCTCTTCAGCCATAGCTCAGGATCTGGGCAAATTAACAGTCATGTAGGTCATTATTTCCATGATGCCAGCAAAGCATGAAGGGTTTTATTCCTGCAACAGTTGCTTAACAACTAATTAATTATAGGCTAAGCTTTCATCGAGTTCCTGCCAATATTTTAACAAGAGGCTCTGTCATAGAGTGAATGGCCCCTTTCAGAGGAATTGGGGTTGAGTGCCCCAGTGACTGATAAAACCTGATGGGCTTCCTGAAGGTTAAGAGAAACACACTAGAAGCAAGTACAAAATGCTTCCAATGGGCATAATTGAGCCAGGGTACTTTGTGACACAATATAAAGTAAAATACCAAGCAGAATCTGCAGTTGGAGACGGTGATTCCCAAAACCCAAGGAAAGCCTGGGAAGGGCTGAAAAGCTGTGCCCAGCATGGAAATGTGAAGACAGGACCTCAGGGGAAGAGAATGTGCCGAGTGAGACTGGGGCATGGGCAGCTTTATTTTGAATTTATTTTATGCTAATAAACCAGTCCCCAAGAAGGTCTTGTTTATTAACAGCTTCCCAAACAATGTATAGCAAGCCCTTCCCTTCCATCAGTCACAAAACACCTGTTCTGAGATGAATTCCAGGTATAAAACCCTCCTGCCTCTCCATCTTTGTTTGTTTTATAAAACACTTTTCTATTCTAAGGTGCTGTACTATACCAGCTGAGTTCATGTCTTGTTGATAGACTAGCTTCTAAAGGGGCAACAGCCTCAATGCACTATGTTTAGTCACAGTGATAGCTTGATAATAAAAAGTTGAGAACAGTAATCCTTCTAGAACTGTGCATAATGAACTTTTCTACCTTAAGAGGAGACAATATAATTACATGTACGTATACATAAATATACATACACACTGCTATGTGAGGATATAGTCTATGTCACAGAAGAGAGACAAGAAGCAAGACAAGAAGAGTGAGAAAATAAAAATGGCAAGAAATTCTATGGTATATGAGAAAAGGCTGCTTTACAAAGGGGCATAATAATAAAGCAGTTGTATTGTTTGAAAAGGAAAGAAGAATAAAAATGGCATGTGCGTACAGGCAAATAAACCCAATGGGGTTAGAATTTCTTGTGCTTGCTTATAATTGATTGAATTTCCACTTTATTTGAGAGCTGGCTGTGTAATTTCTTCTATTTACTTTGGTTTAGCTTAAGTAAGGTACTACCCAGTATGAATAAAGTGGCAAAATCTGGCTCTAAGCCATTTCAGCATTTTATTTTATGTAAAGTCATTGTTTCAATCAAAATCAGTATTGTGATCAGAAGCAGGTATTAGCTATTTGCCCAAATATATGTATTGAATATACCAGTTCATTCGTAGTTATCAGTCCTAATTTCTAGGAATTAGAAAAAAGTCC